TTTTTTTTTTAGGAATTTCTGACAGTGAGTTCTGACCATTTATTTCCCTAAGAAATTTGTACTTGTAAAGCATTATGACTCCTATGATTCTATGAGTCAGTCTGTTTCTGCCGAAATTAGCAGAAATTAATTGGCTCATTTTGATCCTCTTCTCAGCCCTGAAGATGGAAAGTTTCATGGATTAGCATTTCTATTTTACAGAGCTAGAAGCACGATTAGTGGTTTGCCAAACTAGAATTTTAACTCATATTGTCTGATTCCTAATCCAGTGCTCTTTCTATAGCATAATACAATTTCACAAATATTGAAGCCCTCAAATTTTTCAATAATCCATTATTTGAATATCTCTTTTCTGTTTCCCTACCTGAGGAGTATTTCAACTGAGTAGAGAAGCAATAAAAAATACCCACAAAACAAAACAAATGGAAGGAAGAGTTTTGGATAATAAGTTGCATGTAATGAATCTATATACAACTAAATAACTATAATTACAAATAAAACACATTTCTTTAATCAAAGTATTAAAGATAGAATTTGAATAAAAACCATTTGCTTTATAATTTTCATTCTTCCTCTGAAAGAAGGCAAAACATAATAGTAATAGATAACTTTTATTGATGCTTCCGGCATGACACACAACACTCTATTCAGCCTTTTCCTGTTACTTGAGCCTAACAACAACCCAACAAGGTAGCTATTATTATTATCCTTACTGTACAGGGGAGGATACTGAGGCCCAAAGAGTTCAAGTAATTTCTCTAAGACTTCCTAAGTAAAAGAGCTAGAATTCAAATCCAGAAAATCCAAGGTAATTGCATAGAATATTATACTTCAGTTTATTTCAAAATGTATATGTTTAAAATGATTCACAGTAAAAGTTGTAGAGATATGCCATACCATAATATGAACATAATTAACAATACCATTCTGTACATTTTAAAATTTGGCCAGAGGGTAGATTTCATGTTATGTGTGTTTTACCACATACACACACACAAAGTTGACTCACAAAGTGAAATTGAGTCCATTATTTACTATATGATGTAGGAACACCCAGATCCTTAAAACTGCAACTAGCTAAAAATATGTGCTTATTTTAGAACATAATATAATCCATCAATAAAACTTAACAAGAAAAATGCTCAATGGTCTGTGCAAGTCATAGCCTATTAGAGGCAGACAAATTAGTCCTTCTGTGAATAATATAATTCAGAAAATTTAAATACATGCCCTAGTTTGGAAAATATAAAATATGATACTTTGAGAAATAGACTGGCAGTTTCTTTAAAAATTAAATATACACATACCTTAAACCTACCATTCCACTTTTGGATATTTACCCAAGAGAAATAAAAATATACATCTACACAAAGACTTGTACATGAATGTTCATAGCACTTTTATTTGTAATAGCCAAAAATAGGAAACAACCCAAAAATGGGAATAGATAAAAAAAACACGCTCAAGGTGCTGTGTTCAATCTTAGTTGCAGGTGGGCGTAGCCACCATCCCATGNCCGGCAAATACGGTACTTTCAATGTATCTTCTCATTTTTTTGTTTCAGATTAAGATTCCTGAAATGCCTAGTTACTCTCAAGGATTCCCTTTTCTTTTCCTTTTTCTACTCTATTCTCTCTTCAATGGCAGTTCCTGGACTTTTCCATGCCTGGTCTTAACTCCATCATATTTTTAATTGATGTCCATTTTCCTGATGTCACATCCAAAGGCCAACTGAATGATTTTGCAATTAATAAGAAACTTTTCCTGTTGCATTTAAAGCCCAAAAAGAAAAAGTGGTGTTTTTTTTAAAGAAATATAGTTGATTTATGAATCTACATTGTCATTATATATTATATAGACAACGTGGGACACAGAATGGCTATAAGAGGCATAGTCCCTGTCTTTAGGGAACTTCCAATTTGATGGGGAGAAAATGACAACAGGCACTGCCACAAAGAGAAAGTAAAGCAGAGAAAAAATCATTTGGGAAATGAATCTTAATTATAATATATAGATCAGAGATGCTATCAGAAGAGGAAAAACTGAAGTATTCTAAGTCAGAGGTCCAAATGGGGATAAAACTAGAAAGTATTGATTGTTTATTTAATGTTATCTCTGGCCAATGGTGACCACTGAAAATTTGTCTTAAATGGTTACCACACATCCTAGGACATAGTAATTGTGCAATGAATGTTAACTGCAATTATTTTTATTAGAATTTTTCATCATGACACCTGTAGGTCTACTATATACCTAGTCAACACAGGAACTCAATAAATTGAGTTTTTCTGTTGTTAAATTGTGTTTTTCTGATGTGTAACATTAACCTATGTAGCAATTCTCATGTTAGTCAAATTTCCTAATACAAAACACTAAAAAATCCACACTCACTCAAAATGCTTACTTTTCAATAAATCCATCTCGAGTAAAATATTCATGATGCAAGAAATCAGTAGATGATATTCTCTCAGCAGGATCAATTTGTAAACAAGCCTAGAAAATGTAAAAAAGATTCTGTGATTAAGTAAGCTCTTAACAGGTCTCCATAAGGGAAAAATTAAATTTATTTGACAAGCGTATAAGCAATTGATTACCTAGAGCTAAAAATGTTTTTGAAAAGATGGAATTAGACCTCAGGAA